CTCTAACCATTATTTAGAGGCAGATTCTGATCTCTGAAGTTTAGTTTCTCAAGTAAGCTACCAGTCGAGATTCGACTGTATTGCTGAACAATTTCAAAGAGTATTGATCTTGAAATTGAATCCAGACAGAATCGGGTCCCGTTTGGCCTTAGTAAAGTAGATGAAGTAATACCTGAGTTGGTAAAGGAAGTCGCTCGTTCCTGGTATCCCTCTCTTGCCAAGAACTGTGTTTCCTTAAATGCCTTTCTTATTACAATAAGTGCTGTTCACCTCACCAGTTTTGCCTTAGTGGTTTTGAACTTTTTCCTAGAGGTTAGATTAAATTTATGATTAATGGGCTTGGAGGATCATAGGGAGGTCAGGTATGGATTATGTAAGCGACGATCTCTGTAAGATTGGATCGTCATTTCCTTACCTGGAGTTTTCTGGAGAGAGTCCGGGGGTCCAACGCCCCCGCGGCCCGGTCTGTGACTAACAGGCCTGGTGGATCAGAGCCTGATCAACCAGGCTGTTGTGCTGGCTGCATTGCAAAACCAACGTACGAGCACAGCCCGGCTGATCCGGAACTGACTTTCAGGAGCTTGTCCTGTTGCCAGCGTGAGACTGGCTGGGGTATGTTGGTAATCCCCCTTTTGTGTGCTGGGAGGCAGTTGAACATATCCAGGGCCACTGCCCGACACTTCATTGTATGGTTCCTTAAAACGTGCTAGTGACACACTGGCTTTTCATTGGGGGATGGAGCATCGTCTGCCAAGTCTTTTGCTTTCGTAGTGAGCTGTTTTCGTGTGCAAGTTCGGTACTAGTCCCTCTAGGATTTTCAAGGTGTACATAATCTGTGCTCTCTCCCTCTGCGTTCCAGGGATACAGGTTTTAAGAACCTCAAGCGCTCCCAATAATTGAGGTGTTTTATCTACGTTATGCGCGCGTTGAAAGTTCTCTGTACATTTCTAGGTCGGCAATTTCACCTGCCTTCTTGAAAGGTGCTGTTAGTGTTGCAGCCAATATTCCAGCCTTGATAGAACAAGTGACCTGAAGAGTGTCATCATGGGCTTGGCCCTCCCTAGTTTTGAAGGTTCTCATTATACATCCTGTCATTTTTCTAGCAGATGCGATTGATACAATGTTGGTCCTGGAAGGTGAGATCCTCCGACACATGATCACTCCCAGGTCTTTTGACGTTGGTGTTCGCTCTATTTTTTGAGGCCTGAATTTGTTTTGTACTCTGAAAAGGGGGGGAAGTTGGGGTTAGTTTTCCCAACGTTTTAATTGGGTGTAAAGCAGGGTGTGATGTTGAGGGGAGAAGGCTGGGGGGGGGGCAGTGGAGATGTCATGTTGAGGGCAATGTGTGGTGGGGAATTTAATGAGAAAAATTCTTTTGTTTGGAATTTAGGAGGAGGTGGGGTTACCAAAACGTTGTCCAGAGGGTGGGGAAGGGGGTGTTGAGGTGGTTCGGACATTTGGGGAAATGGAGCAAAACAGGTGACTTAAAGAGTTTTCCCCAGTCTGTGGGGAAGGGGGGGGTAGGGGTCGGCCTGGGAAAAGGGTTGGAGGGAGGGGGAAAAAAGGGGGGTTTTTGTGTGCGGGGGGATTGGACTTCCAACAGGCTGCGTGAGGTTTTTTGATAGGAGGAATGGAGACAAAGGGTTTTTTAAACTTGCGTGCGTTGGGGGTAGCAAATAAATTTATAAAGGGGTTGGGAAAAAAAGGGCAGGCCGGACTTGAGTCCGGAGAGGGGGAAGTACAGTGCCTCCTCTAAAGGGGGGGGTTTTAAATGTTGCATTTTTAAAAATGTGGGAAAAGCACCCTTCTGGCAAGACATGTGGAGTAAATGATGGTGAAAGTTTTTCTTTTTCGGGCCCCCCTCCCTTGGTGGGAATGGGCCCAGGTGATAATAAAAAAAAAAAAAAAAAAATTTTATTCATCCCCAGGTAGTTTGTCAATCTAAATTGCGAAAAGGTTTTGGGAGTATGACTGGGTTTGGGTTTGGAAAGGTATGTGTTCATCTGCAAATAATATGGGTCTGAGTAGGTATGCTTTCGGTAGGTCATTGTGTAGACAAAAAAAGGGGGTGGTCCAAGGACACTTACCTGGGGAAAACCCTACTGTGATTGACTGGGGGAGAGTTTGACCATTTGAAAACCCGATGGCTTCTTTTTCCTGGGGTATGACTTAGGTAGTTGAGGGAGTGGCCCCCTTATGCCCTAGTGTGTTTTAATTTTTTGGCAGCAATTTTGTGGTCAACTGTATTCAAAATTTTTTTCGTAAATCAAAGAAAAATTCCCCGTGGGGCTTCTTTCTTCTTGAGAGGGATGTATTAGTTCTAGCATGTGTATAATAGCATCCCTTTGTGCTTTTTTATTCCTGAACCAAAAGACGGGGTTTTGTTGTTGTTTAAGAGAGAGAGGGTAGGGGTTTTTATGAATTTAATTTTTCAAAGATTTTTAGAATGGTAATTTTGAAATTGGTCGTGTTTTTCAAGTCAGCTTGACACCCCCTTTGGGATCGGGTAACCCCCGCTATTTTGAGAAATGCTGGGAAAAGGTTTGGGGGATTCAAGGTTTTTTTTTAAAGAACGTTGCAATATGGTGACAGTACTTGTGAAGCTTTTTGTACATAAAAATTGAAATTGTTTTGTTCCTGCCTTTTTTTTAAGGGTTTTTGATGAACGAATCTCTGTTTTGGGGGGTTGGGTAGGAAAAGTTATGCGGGGTAGGTGCCTGTGGGTAGTCTGATGGGCGGGTCTTGGTTGGGATTTTGCTTGCTGATTTTTTCTATGGTGGAGAAGAAAACAAGGTCTTTTTTTCCATTTCAGTTGGTGGGAGTAGGGGGTTTATTGATTTTGTTAATTTGATTGATTTGTTTTTGGATATCCTTTTAGTTCCTAGAATTTCAGATAGAGTTTTCCAGGTCTTTTTTATAACACATTTGATGTTTTGTAATCTGTTTTCATAATACAGTTTTTAGATCTTCTTATCAGGCTGGTAAGGGATGACGAGAAATGTTTAGAATGGTCTCTAGTTATTTGACCCATTCTGTACTGTTTTTCATATTGGTGCTTTGTGCTAATGGATTTGAGGATGGTGGGTGTTAGCCAGGGACTATTTAGTCTCTTTGCTGTGATCTGTTTAGTTTTTTAGGGCAATGCTTGTTATAGAAGTAGTGGGTTCTTTTTATAAAATTATTAATACATTCATTAGTGTCTGTATATGCTTCAAGCTCATTATGCCGACACAAACCAGCCAGGGTACTTCCCCACACAAACTAGCCAGGGTACTTCCCCACACACATGATTTGATTTGAGTGGGACTTGCGCATGAGTGAATAGAATTATCAAGGCTTACTGCGTGGGGAGCATTGAAAATTGGGTTGGGCAAATATTCTGTTAGTAGGATGGTTTGTGAAGGACCTACCTAGTATGGGCCAACAGGCCTGATGCAGTGCTCCTGCTTTCTTATGTTCTTATGGACACCAACCAGGGTACTTCCCCACACACACACCAGCCTGGGCACTTCCCCACACACCAAACAGGGTAATTCCCCACACACACAATTTTATTTGAGTGGGACTTGCACATGAGTGAATAGAATTATCAAAGCTTATTGCTTGGGGAGCATTGAAAATTGGGTTGGGCAAATATTGTTAGTGGGATGGTTTGTGAAGGACCTGCCTCGTATGGGCCAATAGTGGAAATATAAACACTTAAGCAGTATAATGCGATCCTTTATCAAGTCATAAACAGATCTGTTTGTGACTTGATAAAGCCCACTGCATGGGTGAAACATTGTCAATAAAGGATCACATTATACTGCTTAAGTGTTTATATTTCCATTGTGTCGGTATTTTATACCATTTATTTCCATGGGCCAACAGGCCTGCTGCAGTGTTCCTGCTTTCTTATGTTCTTATGTACACCAGCTGAGGAAATAAATGGTATAAAATACCGACACAATGGAAATATAAACACTTAAGCAGTATAATGTGATCCTTTATTGACAACGCTTTCGCCCACACAGTGGACTTTATCAAGTCACAAACAGATCTGTTTGTGACTTAATAAAGCCCACTGTGTGGGCAAAACGTTTTCAATAAAGGATCACATTATACTGCTTAAGTGTTTACATTTCCACCAGCTGAGAAAATTGATTCAGAGGAGGAGGAACAGAGAGGAAAGAAGGTGCCTTCTTCAAAGATTAAGGATATTTGTGCAAAGTTGAAGTGAGGTGCAAACATTTGTGGAGGAACATCACCCTAACCCACTCCCCTCCTCCCATCTCCCATACACCAACAAGAGTCTTCAATAAAGGTAAGTGTGATGTTATTATTGTTTTATACTTGATTTCTCATTCTTTTCTGTATGTAAATCTATATTTAATCTATAAAAAAAAATAATTTTTGTTGATACTTTTGGGTGTCTGGAACAGATTTATTGGATTTACACTATTTCTTATGGGGAAAATGGTTTAGAAATTCGTGAATTTCGACTTTCGGCAGACTCTCTGAAACGGATTAATCACGAAATTCGGGGGTCCACTGTACATTCATACATCCTGGTGAGCTCGGCCACACGTACGCCACTTTTGTATTTTGCTACAATTTCTTTCTTGAATTCTATCATGTTTCTCACCTTCTTTACTAGAGAGCTGGCACTAGGAACTATCTTTGGCCCCATGGTGGCTTACTTTGCAGTTGCACCCAATAAACAAGCACAAAAAACATTGGATTATTATGAAACGTTTCGGATGAATGCACGGAGTATTGCTCACTGAAAAAGTGACAGAGGCAGACTGAGTCAGGTACGTGTGAGCGGCTGCGTCTAATACGGACGATTTCTGAGAGGAGGTACAAAACCCGGGGTAAAATTTCACCCAAAAAAGTGGTTGAAATCCGAATTGTACGATATATGCACTGGACGAACTCCGGGGTTCCACTGTATCTAGTGCAGTATACAGTGTAGAGAAAAACAATAGTCACCTTACAGGGAAACTACAAACAATAATCACCTTAGAGGGAAACTGCTTCTGAATAATGACGAGGAGAAGTGATTTTCCCAACTGAAATAGAAACATTACTATAATTATTATTATTATATTTACAAAAAATAATAAACTTCTCTGCTTATTTTGCAGACATATAACTCTAAGTGTGCTATTTCATAAAGTTCCTTTATAGTACAAGTTTCTGTAAATACAAACTGAGAAAGTATATAAAAAATTTAAGTGTGCAGAAAGGCATTTATAATGTAAGCTAATCAATTTTAGAAGCACCTTTTCAAAAGTATTTTTTAAAAAATCACACTACATAGAGAAAGTTTGAGAGAACTTATTGTATATATCTTTGACAACAATCATATTATGCACATCTAGATAAATAACTAAGTAATCTTTTCTCTCAAATTTCAAGAAGAGTTCTACAGGGAGAACAAATGAATATAATAAGGAGAACTGTACATAAAACAAGAGATTACACAAACATCAATTGTAATCAACTGTCCCTAATTGAAATCCACACCAGCATGTTGTTGTACATCAGAAGAATAAAGAGAATTACAATATACATAAATATAAAAAAAAAACTTTCTCTTATGTGATGTTCAAGTACACGTAGTCTTAATAAATTTTTGACATAAATGATCTGAAACACTGTTAATAAATAGATAGTTTATAATTATAGCAATTACATACACACTTCATCAGTAATAATTCAGTACCTTTACCCAACACTTAACAAAATCACAACAAACGAAAGAATCGATGAAGCTTAATATTAGTCAATGAGAATAACTAAATCTGACGTACCAGTTGTAACAGCAACAGCATTTAGATGATAACTTATACAAATAGACTGTTGGTGGCTCACCAAATTCAAAAGAAAAGCATTACCTTATCCTTCTTCCTAATAAGACATTGTTTACCTTGATTTAATAACACTGGTAAATCTATTGTTAAAATAAAACACAAATATTCGATTTTGACTTTCAGACCTCCTTAGTGACATGAACACTTAATAAATGCATTATGCATTTATCCATCTTAATGTAAGTTATACTGAAATAAATTGATTAACTAATGTTAACTTAACCAAATCAAATACAGGCGGGCCCAGTTTACAGTAGGGCCCCACTTATACGGCAGGTTAGGTTCCAGGCTACTGCCGGAAAGCAGAATGCCATTTTTTCCATTTATAAATGCATATAAATGCCAGGTAACAAGTTTACACTAACATATATTACGTTAGCAATAAAACTAGGCATTAAAAACAATAAATAGTAAAATACACACACAGTACACCCATTACTTACCTTAAAATATTTGTAGTCTTAATGTAGGGTGAGAGGTGAGTTTAATTTGTAGGAAGTCAGGTCAGCCCACCCCACCCACACGTAATATACTACATTTAATTAACCCTTTCAGGGTTCCGTCCCTAGATCTACCGTCTTTAAAAGTTCAGGGGGCCAACCGTGATCTACGCCATGACTCAGCTCACTCTGATAAACTGTGAGTGTACATTTGGGCCAGATATGAGAGAATAACTATGTGGTTGTGGGGCACCATATAAAACAGATCCGCAAGCACCTGGCAATGAGAGAAAAAAAATGAAATCATGATTTGATAAAAAAGCAACTTGCAGTGTTTTTCGTATGTTTTTTATAGTTTGTATTGCGATTTCTTGGTTTCATTGATAGAATGAAGACATATTTCAGAAAAAAGAGATGAATTTGATTGGTTTTAGCATTGGGAAATTTCTTGAAACTTTAGATCAAAGTAGCAGAAATGTTAAAATTTTGCTATATTCCCAAAAGTAACAAACGACCTCACACGTCTAATACACATCAGCTGTGGGTCCCCATATACCATTCACAAATATGGGATGATATTTATACAATATTACAGCATTTTCATAACAGAAATCTTCTATTTTTTGGTGTGAATAAAAATTCATTATTTGAATAAAAATCAAAATGGAATTTATTTGTAAAGCCTCAAAAATAACTAATGACAGAGAAATGTTATTTAGTGCCCGGAAAAGCCTACATTGTTCATTCTGGACCCTATTTTGAAATTGGGAAAATTTTGAATTTGTGTTAAATTGGCCAATTAACAATTTCCGATCACTTTATTTTGTAGTTGAAACGTTGACTTGGCGATTTCTTGTGCTCAACGATAGAATAGAAGTAATATAGTGAAAAAGCTAAGAAATTTTGGGTTTTTTGGGGAAAAATGTAATTTCCTAAAATGGGGGTCAAAATCGGGAAAATCGCCGATTTGTAAAAATTTGTGACACATCAAAATTCGCGAGGCATTAAATTTGTCAATTTCCCCAATTTTCGTACTTTTTGTTTTTTTTTCCTTCACAAAAAAATTCTCTACGATTTCATAAGAAAAAATAACAAATTTTTTTTTTGAAATATCTTGGACACTGGTGCGTGACTCCAGATTTGGGCCTTGGACCCTGAAAGGGTTAAAGCTCCCCAGAGCGATAAAATACATAAAGTACATTCATTAATTACCTTAAAATAACGCGACGGTCTGGAGTTTTGAGACTCCCTGACCGTGGGATCAAACCCCACCCATGGTATGGTTTGTTTGCAATCGTGCCATTACGATTTCGTGAGTCATGTTACCTTAAAATATTTGAAGTCTTAATGTAGGGTGAGAGGTGAGTTTTATTTGTAGGAAGTCAGTTCTGGAAAGTATGGGTAGCCAGGAAGGGCAGCCCTCCCCACGCCACCCACACGTAATGTAAACAAACCAGGCGAACGCGTCTGGTTTCATCACTTTACATTGTGTACAAGATGTCTCCATGTTGATACAGTAGAATAAATAAATAGACAGTCCCATTCTCATGTAACACTATTTTTAGAAGAAATGACACCCTGAGTGAAGGCATATTTAGGTACAGGTACACATACGTATAATTATCAGTTATAATAATAATGTAGGTATGTAGTCCGCCTGGGCTACATACTTATACCTACCTACGTAGCTACACGATATTTAATGTGGCCCACAGCCATATTATTACCATCGACATACCATGTTCACTGAGTTTAATTGTTTATAACAACTGCCTTTAGATGCCATCATAAACAAAGGAAGAAGTAATGAATAATTCATGCCAAGAATTGTAAACAAAAGCATTATGTATTAAGGGGAGTGACATGTTTTCCCTCCGCCCGGCTACCACACCTCCATTGTATTTTTTTTTTTTTTTCAACAAGTCGGCCGTCTCCCACCGAGGCAGGGTGACCCAAAAAAGAAAGAAAATCCCCAAAAAGAAAATACTTTCATCATCATTCAACACTTTCACCACACTCGCACATTATCACTGTTTTTGCAGAGGTGCTCAGAATACAACAGTCTAGAAGCATACACATATAAAGATACATAACATATCCCTCCAAACTGCCAATATCCCAAACCCCTCCTTTAAAGTGCAGGCATTGTACTTCCCATTTCCAGGACTCAAGTCCGACTATATGAAAATAACCGGTTTCCCTGAATCCCTTCACTAAATATTACCCTGCTCACACTCCAACAGATCGTCAGGTCCCAAGTACCATTCGTCTCCATTCACTCCTATCTAACACGCTCACGCACGTTGCTGGAAGTCCAAGCCCCTTGCCCACAAAACCTCCTTTACCCCCTCTCTCCAACCCTTTCGAGGACGACCCCTACCCCGCCTTCCTTCCCCTATAGATTTATATGCTTTCCATGTCATTCTACTTTGATCCATTCTCTCTAAATGACCAAACCACCTCAACAACCCCTCTTCTGCCCTCTGACTAATACTTTTATTAACTCCACACCTTTTCCTAATTTCCACACTCCGAATTTTCTGCATGATATTTACACCACACATTGCCCTTAAACAGGACATCTCCACTGCCTCCAACCATCTCCTCGCTGCTGCATTTACCACCCAAGCTTCACACCCATATAAGAGTGTTGGTACTACTATACTTTCATACATTCCCTTCTTTGCCTCCATAGATAACGTTTTTTGACTCCACATATACCTCAACGCACCACTCACCTTTTTTCCCTCATCAATTCTATGATTAACCTCATCCTTCATAAATCCATCCGCCGACACGTCAACTCCCAAGTGTCCCTGTTTGCCAATGATGTGAAGTTAATGAGAATCAAATAAGATGAGGATCAGGCAGGACAACAAAGAGACCTGGACAGGCTAAATGCATGGTCCAGTAACTGGCTCCTAGAATTTAACCCCGCCAAATGCAAAGTCACGAAGATCAGGGAAGGGCAAAGAAGACCACTGACAGAGTCTAGGCTGGGTGGCCAAAGACTGCAAACCTCACTCAAGGAGAAAGATCTTGGGGCGAGTATAATACCGAGCACATCTCCGGAAGCACACATTAACCAGATAACTGCTGCAGCACATGGGCGCTTGGCAAACCTGAGAGAAGCGTTACGATACCTCAGTAAGGAATTGTTCAAAACACTGTACACCGTGTATGTCAGGCCCATACTGGAGTATGCAGCAGCAGTTTGGAATCCACACCTGGTCAAGCACGTCAAGAAATTAGAGAAAGTGCAAAAAGTTTGCAACAAGACTAGTTCCAGAGTTAAGGGGACTGTCCTACGAAGAAAGGTTAAAGGAAATCGGCCTGACGACACTAGAGGACAGGAGGGTTAGGGGAGACATGATAACGACATACAAAATACTGCGAGGAGTAGATAAGGTGGACAGGGACAAGATGTTCTAGATATGAGACAGAAACAAGGGGTTATAATTTGAAGTTGAAGACTCAGATGAGTCAAAGGGATGTTAGGAAGCATTTCTTCAGCCATAGAGTTGTCAGGAAGTGGAATAGTCTGGCAAGTGATGTAGTGGAGGCAGGAACCATACATAGTTTTAAGACGAGGTATGATAAAGCTCATGGAGCAGGGAGAGAGGACCCAGTAGCGGTCAGTGAAGAGGTGGGGCCAGGAGTTGAGTCTCGACCCCTGCAACCACAAATAGGTGGGGACAAATAGATAAGTACACGCATACACATGAATGCACGCACGCAAGCAAGCAAGCACACTTGTGCAATGTATGTTTGAATTCTCTATTGTTAGTATCAGTCCTAGCTTAATTCCACTCGACATTCTTTGCATAACTTCAGGATTTACCTTGTATGACAAGCAATCCCTTCATTTATCTTCTTGGAAAATAAAATCATCATTATAAGTGAACTCGTAAACGGTCCAAACATATACAGTGGACCCTCGCATAACGATATTAATTGGTACCCGAGAACGAATATCGTTAAGCGAGTTTTTTAACGTTATCCGAGGGAAAATGTTAGCATTAAAAATATCGTTATGCGAATTTAACGTTATGTGATGCCAACATTATGCGAGGGTCCACTGTATATACGTTTTTTCAACATTTGAAAGTATGTAAAAAAAGTAGATCTTCTTTTTTCTTTTACATTTGAAAAAGTGTAAAAAAACTTTGATCTACTTTTTTTTTTAATTTGAAAATACAGTGGTCCCTCAATAATCGTCCGGCCTGAAAGTCGTCCATTTCGGAAATAGTCCTGTTTTTTCGTCAAAATATTGGCTCGCAAATGGTCCGGTAACTCGCTAATAGTCCTTCGTCCCGGTCGCCTACTCACGCTCTGAGCTGCCTCGGCCTTTCCTTCCCAGCCAGTGTGCCATTGTTTACCAGTGAGTGATGGTCCCCTCACATGCTCCTATGAAATATTTCATAATATTCCATTGATTTTAGTGCTTGCAAGTGCTAAATAAGCTACCATGGCTCCAAATAAAGCTTCTAGAGCCAGCCCTTTGGTAAAGAATGTGAGAAACACATAATTTATGAAAAAAGTTTGTAGAAAAATACAAAGATGGTGGTGGTAGAGTGAAAGCAGTTGTGATAGTGGTTGATGAACATAAGAAATGAGGATCACTGCAGCAGGCCTGTTGGCCCATACTCGGCAGGTCCTTTACAATTCATCCCACTAAGGAAACATTTTCCCAACCCAGTCCTCAATGCTACCCAAGAAATAAGCTCTGATAACTCTATCCACTCATTTGCAAGTCCCAAATGAGAGTTGTTGGAGTTATATAGGGCTACAAAAATCACCGCCGACGCAGCTGCTGCTTCACCACCATTATGGACGGCTTACGCTCAGTGGCCCTTATATACCCAACAACAACACAACACAACACCTCTCGTGACATACATAATGACTTATTTTATTCATTCTAGAGTATATTCCATGTTTCTATGTTATTAATATTGTTTATTATGTCATATTAGTTGAATTGTGATAGATAAATAAGCCATAGAGTTGATATTAGTGTCATATTCTCCAACAATAAACTTGCCATCCCTCCCTCACACAAACAAATAGCCAATAAGAACATAACAATGGAACAACACTGCAGGTCTACTGGCCCATACAAGGCAGGTCCTTATAAAAATGACCTCCACCCAAAGCTACCCAAGAATTTACTCCCGTACCCAATGACACAAATCAAACTCAGCTCCTCCAACTCGTATATTTGTCCAATCTCTTCTTAAAGCTACCCAAGGTCCTAGCCTCGATCACCCTACTGGTAAGTGTGATGTTAAATAAGAACTTAAGAAAGTAGGAACACTGGAACAGGCCTGCCTGGCCCCCAAATAACTAAGGCCGGTCCTTTCACAAATCCAAACCCCCACTAACAGAACACAATGCTTACCCAAGCAACTATAAACTCAGGTGCAAGTCCATGGGGGACCTCCAAAACCTCTCTTTTCCACCCCTTTCACTCGTGTATTTATCCAAATAAATTGTGAAAACTACTCCCAATGGTCTTTAGCTTTCGATCACCCTAACTAGGCAGACGAACGTTTCCTCATCAATACCCTATTATCATGATCATATTATCATTTTTTAGTGCCCTGAGTCCTATGGAGTGGGATTCCCTTCCAAATAACCTCTTCTTCCCTCTCTCCTCCTCCTGTCTTCCATTCATCAACAGCAGCCTTCAATAAAGGTAACTGTCATGTTGAATGTTCATTCATTTGTGCATGTAAATCTATCTTTTAGGTAAATAAAAAAAAATTTTGTTGATACTTCTGGGTGCCTGGAACGAATTAATTGGATTTACATTATTTCTTATGGGGAAAATTGATTCAAAAATCGTCCATTTCGATAATAGTCCCACTTCCAGGAACGGATTATGGACGATTATTGAGGGACCACTGTATGTAAAAAAACGTAGATCTACTCTTGGAGCACTACACATATGAACGTAGATCTGCTTGGACCGTTTACGGGTTAAATAACAAAGTCCAATACCTTAGCCTCTCCTGAAAACCCACATCTGTTATTGCACAAATGCCAACAATGGCTTAAAAGTACAACAGAGTTTATGCAAAGCAGACTAATAAATCCATAATGGACTCACATTTACTTTTTCGTTTCGATGCTGTCAGAGCCTTCTTGATTGTGGTCCAGTCATCAACAATATCTGGTTCCCGTAACATGTAAACAATATAGGGACCAGCAACAGTAGTGGGCTTTTTTTTCTTGCGATCAGTAGAGCTATTTGAACCCTGAAAAATATAATTACCAGGTACATTAAAATTCAACAATACACATACAGTGGACCCCCAGTTAACGATATTTTTTCATTCCAGAAGTATGTTCAGGTGCCAGTACTGACTGAATTTGTTCCCATAAGGAATATTGTGAAGTAGATTAGTCCATTTCAGACCCCCAAACATACACATACAAACCCACTTACATAAATACACTTACATAATTGATCGCATTGGGAGGTGATCGTTAAGTGGGGGTCCACTGTATTACACATATAGAAATACGTAAAGCAAAACTTACTAAACAGATAGTCACAATAAAGTTTAACCCTTTGACTGTTTTGGTCGTATATATACGTCTTACGAGCCAGTGTTTCAGACGTATATATACTCAATAATCCTGTAAATATTACTAAATGTAAAAGGAGAAATTTTCGTTTTTCCTTTTGGGCCACCCCGCCTCAGTGGGATAGGGCCGGTTTGTTGAAAGAGAAAAATTCTAGCAGCTTCAAATCAAACAGGAGAAAGCTGGTAGGCCCACATGTGAGAGAATGGGTCTGTGTGGTCAGTGTGCACCACATAAAAAAAATCCTGCAGCACGCAGTGCATAATGAGAAAAAAAAAACTCTGAACGTTTTTTTGGATTAAAACGCCAACTTTGAGGTGTATTTTCGTATAGTATTTATCGTTGTATTCTCGTTTTCATGGTCTCAAGTGATAAAATGAGAAACATATTACAGAAATAGAGATGATTTTGATTAGTTTCACAATGAAAAAGACCTTGAAATTGAGCTCAAAGTAGCAGAAATGTTTGATTTTTAGTAATGTTCAAGAGTAAGCAAATCACACCACATGTCCAATACACATCAACTGGGGAGTCTAATATTCTTTCACAAGCGCACTGATATTATTTATACCATTTTTACAATAATGCAGTAGTCTGCATAACAGTAAATTTTGTATTATTTGTATGAAAAAAATATAAATAGAAAGCAATAGTAATATAAGAGGGGCCTAGAGACGTGACTAATGAGCAGAGGATATATTATTTTAGTGCCAAGAATGTCTACATGTTTATTCTGGACCCTATTTTGAAATTGGCATCTTTTTTAATTTGATTAAAATTGGCCAAATTGGCAATTTCTGACCACTTTATTGGGTAGTTCAAATTGGTAAATGGGTGGTTTCTTGTACTCATTTGATAGAAAAAATGGAGTTCTAAAGAAATAGCTATGAGTTTGGTCAACTGGAACAATGGAATTGGCCAAAAACAGGGCTCAAAGTCGGTGAAATCGCCAATGCATATATGTCAGCGAGACCGCTAACTTCACAGGAGCGTAATTCCATAAGTTTTCGACCAAATTTCGTACTTTTGGTGTCATTACCACCGGGAAAAGATTCTCTATCATTTCATAAGAAAAAATAATTTTTTTTTCCAAAAACTTTTCGACACAGAATGACAGTTTCAGAAAGGGGCCTGCGACAGTCAAAGGGTTAATATGCAAAAAAATGTATCATTGGAATCAATGAGTACCAATGTACTTGACCATATACTTCACCTAATATTACTATTCAGCTTTTGCTAAGGAATTCTTTTTGCATTGACTTAAAACATGGATTCCATGAGACTGTATAAATACAAACATAGTGCTAGTCATTAAAGTACGCCAGATGCTTCCACATGGTGTGCTTTAGTGTCAAAATTAATACCAGAGCCTATTATACATTTTGGGGAGAGAGAAATTTATGGAAATATAAGCAGTATGTGATCCTTTATTGACAATGTTGTCAATCAAGGATTATGTTATACTGCTTATGTGTTTATATATTTCCATTGTGTTGGTATTTTATACCATTTATTTCCAAAGAAATTTATGCTGGCCTGGCAAATCATAGTGAGACATTTCACAGGTTCCACTTGGCTACTCGCTGCATGCTCAGTGTCTTCTGGGCTGGTGTTCTCCTTGTGCCATAGGGTCTCCAGTATGTGAATTAATATGGGCAAAACCAAGTCGCTGATATAAGGGACAACTGCATACATCATTGGATTACACAAGACAAGCCATCAAATGAAGGAAATAGCAGAAGCCATTGGTGTGTGAGAGCATTCAGCGAGGAGCTGATTGTGTTGGTGCCTTGAAGATGATGGCGATGACATGCCCATATCAAAAACACCTCCAGGGAAGCCTAGAAAAACATCTCTACGTACAATAACTGCAATAAAGCAGCAGCTTGAGTCCAAATCAAGAGTTACTGCATGAGAGATTAAAAGAATCATTATTTGACTATTTGAACAGTTAATAAATGTTGAAGGAGTTTGGTTACAGTAGTTGTCGACCCATCCAGAAACCAATTTTGAGCTATGTGTAGAGAAGGCATGAAGTTGTGTTTGCAAAGAAATACAAAACATGGATCAAAGTTCCTTGGAGTGATGTAGCCACTCTCACAGTGATCTGTAACTGTGGTGGGAACATTAACAAATGCCCAAGTAGCAACCGCTTGGACCCAGGCTACACTTGTGGTACCACAAAATGTCTTAAATCTCGAAGGGTTTGGGCTTGTTTTAATGTTAAAATTGCTCTGTGATCATATGTCGGAATCTTTCACTCAATGTAATGCAAAGATTTTTTATGCAAGACAATGCTCATTGCCACACTACTAATCAATGTTCAGTGACTTTATGACTGTGAATTAACCTTCTTAGACAATGACTGACCAGGAAGTTCCCAAATTTGAACCTCATTGAGAACCTATGGACTGTGATAAGAGAAATGTACAAGGAGAGGACATCTCTCATGCCCATGGCTGGAGTGGTCACCATCCATGTCATGGGAGAATTTATCTCAAGAAACAATAAAAAATTTGACTAGCTTCCTAGACAGCTGAAGGATGTAGTAAAGTGCATGAGGCAACTCACAAAACACTACATATTTTTCATTTTTCTATTTTTTGATCATGGTTTGAGAGGGGGCTGGATAACTTAAATGAGGAGCACTGTACTTTGATTTCAGTAAGAGTAAGAGGTAGATGGAGTCCAAGGAGAATGGCACCAGTAGGTGAGAGAAATAAGAGTGAATGAACCAAAGGAGGAGATGGAAAAATATAAACAACTACTGGGAGAAAGATGGGCTAGAGAGAGTACATGAAATGAGGAGGAGGCTGAACAGCTTTCTTTTTCTAACAACGTCGGGCTATCTACCACCGAGGTATGATGACCTTCCCCCCCCCAAAAAAAAAAAAAAACTTTTCGTCATAATTACTTCAATCACTGTCTTGCAGAAGCATGCTGATATCACAGTTCACATGACCCTCCAAACAGCAATAACACCACCTCTCCTTCAGAGGTAAGCACAAGTCCAGCTAACAAGTTTTCCTGAATCCCTTTGCAAGCATTACTCTGCTCATATTCCAAGAGTACAACAAATAATGAAAACCACTTAGCCTCTACTCACTCTTATCTAACGCATTCACAAATTAGTGCTGGATGTTCAAGCCCCTTGCACAAAAAAATTTACTTACCTCTTCCCTCCAACCTTACCAGGGATAACTCCTACTCCTTCTTCCCTCCACCCTAGATTGATACACCTTCCAATTATCCCATTCTGCTCCATTTATTTATTTATTTATTTTATGTTTTTGCAAACAGTACATTGAGATTTTGTATTTACAATAGTGGGTTGTAATGCAAAGAGAGCCTCTATTATGCCTAGGCATTATGGGCCAACTTAACATTATTGGCTTAATACTAAGGAGTATATCATAGTTGTATAGTAGTATAGTAATTATTTCATAGTTGTACAGTAGAATATTAATTATAGATGAATCAAAATTTGTATAATACAAAGATATATTTATATTCGAAAATGCTTTTTGTGAAAACAATGATTCAATTACATTCCTGTCAACAATGGATAAAAGGTTCAATGTGGTTGTTTCAGTTATGATGTGGGGGTACAGTGGACCCCCGACTAATGATATTATTTCAATCCAGAAGTCTGATCGGGTGACGTTATAAACCGAATTTGTTCCCATACAGAATATTGTGAATTAGATTAGTCCGTTTCAGACCCCCAAAAATACACCTACAAAAGCACTTACAAAAATACGCTTACATAATTGGTCAAGTTGGGAGCTGATCGTTAGTCGGGGGTCCACTGTACATAGGTGAGTGTGTACTGAGTATTTAGTATTTAGTCTAGGGTGATTAAGTGGCTTTTGAGAAGAGTCTTAAATTGATTTTCAGACTGGGTTACTTTAATATCTTCTGGTAATGAATTCCTCTCTAAATGTCCAAACCATCTTATAAACTCCTCCTCAGCCCACTCAATAATACTTCTAGTAACACTGTACCTCTTAACCTCCAAACTATGAATTCTCAGCATAATATTCACACTATGCATTGTCCTCAGACATATGACATCTCCACTGACTCTAGCCTCCTTCTCATTGCAATGTTTAAAACCCATGCTTCACACCCATCTATCAGTATTGGCACCACTATACTTTGCTACATTCCCCTTTTTTTCCTCCATAGATACCTCACTGTACCATTTACCTTTCTCCCCTCATTAATTCCATAGTTCACCTCATCTTTCATAGACCCATCTGCCAATAAGTTCACTAACAAATATCAGAAAACATATACAGTATTTACTCTATACTCCCTTCTTCCAATCTGATAACCAAACTTTCATTAACCAGATTTTTTGTTACTCTTATTACCTTGCTCGAAATTTCTTATGTTCATTTTTAATTTCTTTCTTTTATATATCCTCCTAAATTCATCTACCAACTTTTGCAATTTCTCTTCAGAATTTCCCAAAAGCATGGTGTCATTGGCAAAAAGCAACTACAATACCTCCCACTTTGTTAGGCTCATTATCTTTTAATCTCATTCCTCTCCTCATCGCCCTAGTCTTCACTTTTATTACAATCCTCATCTATAAGTATGGAAACAACCATGAAGACAAATGAGACACTTGTGCAACATTTGAGTATTTTTATTGTGGAAACATTTCACCAGCCAGTGGCATCATCAGTCCAATGTGGAGAGAGGTAGAAGATGAGGAGTGTGAGATAATCAATCCCTCAGCCTGGAGTTGATGTGTTCAGACCAACAATCTTTTATCAAGACTGATGATCTAAACACACCAACTTAAGGCTGAAAGACTGATTACCTCAAACTCCTCATCTCCCACCTTTCTCTTCACCGAACTGAAGAAGTCAATGGTTAGCAAAACATTTCCAGAATAAAGATACCTAAATGTTACACAAGTGTCTCAATTATCAAACTGTCAGTTTTCTAAACCATTTATACACAACCATGGTAACATCACTCTATCACTCCATGATCGCATTTGCAAAGGCATTTGACAAATACAATCATGGAGTGATAGCGCACAAAATGAAGGCCATGGGCATTACGGGGAAGGTAGGCAGATGGATTTTCGGTTTCCTAACACACAGGCCACAAAAAGTAGTAGTGAACAGGGCAAGATCCAGCATCAGCGAGGTCAAAAGCTCAGTGCCCCAAGGCACTGTCCTGGCACCTCTGCTGTTCCTCATCCTCATAGCAGACACAGACAAAAACACCCGGCACACTTTTGTATCATCATTTGCAGATGACACTAAAATAAGCATGAAAGTAAGTACGGCAGAGGACACTGAAAAAGTACAGGAAGACATACACAGGGTTCTCCAGTGGGCAGTGGAAAACAACATGGCGTTCAATGGTGATAAGTTCCAGCTTCTTAGGTATGGAAAGAATGAAGAGCTCAAAAGGAGCACTATATACAAAAACTCTAAGAGGGTCACCAAATAGAACGTAAGGAACATGTAAAAGACCTAGGAATAATTATGTCAGCGGACCTTTCTTTTTAAGATCATAACAAGACAAAGATCACGACAGCCAGGAAGATGGCTGGGTGGGTATTGAGAACTTTCAAAACAAGGGGAACAATGCCAATGCAAACATGGAATGCATGAGAGTATAGTCATACCAACACTCTTATATGGGTGTAAAGCATAGGTTGTGAATATTACAACAAGGAGAAAGCTGGAGGCAGTGAAGATATCGTGTCTGAGGGCAATGTGTGGTGTGAATATTATGCAAAGAATCCATAGCTTGGAGAATAGGAGGTATGGGGTTTCTAAAAGTATTATCCGAGAGATGAAGATTCGTTGATGATGGTTTAGACATTTAGAGAGGATGGAACAAACTAGAATGACTTGGAGAGTGTATGGGTATATAAATCTGTAGTGGAAGGAAGGTGGAGTAGGGGTTGTCCTAGGAAAGGTTGGAGGGATGGGGTAAAGGAAGATTTGTGTGTGAGGGGCTTGGACTTCTAGCAAGCATGTGAGAGATAAGAGTGAGTGGAGACAAATGGTTTTTATGACTTGATGTGTTGTTGGTGTGTGAGCAAAGTAACATTTATGAAGGGCTTCAGGGAAACCAGTTAGCTGAACAGTGCCTGAGCTCTGAAATAGAGGTGGAGATATGTTGCAGCTTGTTAACTGTAGTGTCAGCATGCCTTTGGCAAGCCAGTGGAGTGAGTAATGATAAAAGTGTTTCTTCTTTTTCAGGTCACCTGGCCTTGGTGGAAAACAGCTGATGTGTTAATAATTTTTTTTTTAACACGCTGGCCATCTCCCACCGAGGCAGGGTGATCCAAAAAAGAGAAACACTTTCACCATCATTCACACTATCACTCTTTGAAGAGGTGCGCAGATACAACAGTTTAGATGTCACTGTAAACAGCAAATATAAATAATAATTTATACAAAATTATTAAAGAAGAGACACCACAAGCACTGGTTTCATAAATAAGTTAGGTAATCATAAACAGAGGTAATACTCAGCTGGATCAATGAAGATATTCACTGATATTTTCATAAAACTCAGCACTGTACCTGTCTATGTCTTCGTCTCTTTCTATGTAGATTCTGTTCTGCCCACACCTGACTGGTGACATCAACGTTGTTGCGATCTTCCTCAAGACGACGTATCCTATCCTCCAGTTCACCTTCAATTGCATCCCACAGCATCACTTTCTCATTCTATTAAAAACACAGCATCACTCTGTTTAAATAAGAATTATTCCTACTTTATCCTATGATAAATCTTTGTACATAACTGAAAATTTCGAAGGAAATACTGTATTACAGAAACACAAAATGTTAAGATATACATGGAGTATAAACTGTATACTGAATATGAGTAGAAGTTTGTAAAATTTACTCGTATATGTGTGTGTTAGATAGGAGTAAAGGCAAACAGTTTTTAGGACCTGATGAGTTGTTGAAGTGTGAGCAATGTAACATTTTGTGAAGGGATTCAGGGAAACTGGTTAGCCAGACTTGAGTCCTGGAGGTGGAAAGAACAGTTCCTCAATACTAAAGGAGGGGTGGGAATATGTATTTGCCGTTTGGAGGGACATTTACAGTGCTCGTCACGGCATTATGCCGGGTGAGCACAGCAGCATAATCCTGTGATGAAAATCAAATGCCTACCTTACAGGAAGATCTTTTTTCATCAGTGCATTCTGCTGGGTAGCAGCTGTTAGCATGATGTCACGGCCTGCCACCACACTTCACAGTGACTTCTCATTGCTCTCATGGGTGCCGTGGTAAGAGGAAGTGTTGCACTTTTGTCTCTCATCCACCTCATCTTTTGTCCAGTATTCCCTTTGGTTTTGGGGTTATACATCTTTGACTATGGGTAAAAGGAAGTCTTTAACACCTGAAACTATAGCTCACATCACAGGGCTTCACAAAACTGGGCACCAGACAAAAGAAACAGTGGAGAATGTTAGTGTGTGTGAGCTTTCAGTGAGGAACTGGATGCAGAGTTTCAAAGCTGGTGGTGGTGTCGAGTTACCGTTTGCCAAACCTCAGCCTGGCCCCTCCAAGAAGACATCTGTTTGTACCTTAACTATGTTAAGGCGTAGAATTAGGGGGGATATGATTGAGGTGCATAAATGGAAAACAGGATTGAATAAAGGGGATGTAAAGAGCGTGCTAAAAATATCTAGCCTAGACAGGACTCGCAGCAATGGTTTTAAGCTGGAAAAATTCAGATTCAGGAAGGATATAGGAAAGCACTGGTTTGGTAACAGAGTTGTGGATGATTGGAACAAACCCCCGAGTACTGTTATGGAAGCTAAGACGCTGTGTAGTTTTAAAAACAGGTTAGATAAATACATGAGTGTGTGTAGGTGGGTGTGAGTTGGACCTGACTAGCTGGTGCTACTGGGCCAGATGTCATGCTCCTTCCTTAAGTGGAGGTGACCTGACTGGGTGGGCCACTGGTCTAAGCCGGGGGTTGACATGGACCTGCCCCGCATGGGCCAATAGGCCTGCTGCAGTGTTCCTTCTTTCTTATGTTCTTAACTGCTTCTTTAACACAGTTAAGATATGAACAGATGTCTTCTTGGAGATGTCTTCTTGTAGTTTCAGGTGTTAAAGACTTCCTTTTACCCATAATCAAAGATGTATAGCCCCAAAACCAAAGGGAATACTGAACAAAAGACGAGGCAGATGAGAGATGAAAGTGCAATATTTCCTCTCGCCACGGCAGCCATGTGAGCAATGAGAAGTCACTGTGAAGTGTGGCAGAAGGCCATGACATCATGCTAACAGCTGCTACCCAGGAGAATACACTGACGAAAAAAGACCCCCCTGTATGGTAGGCCTTTGATTTTCATCACAGCATTATGCCAGGGCACTCACCTGGCTTAATGCCATGACGAGCACTGTAAACTGTCCTATCTGTGCACCTCTGGCAAGACAGTGATAGTGTGAACAATGCTGAAAGTGTTTCTTTTTCAGGTCACCTACCTAAGTGAGAAACAGCCAGCGTGTATTAAAAAAAAAAAAAAAAAAAGCAATCCAGTATAGGGTGCAAAACACTCAACCCTTTCACAGTCATGAGTTTAAAAAATCTTAAAATGGTAGAAAATGATTTTCCGAGAGTAATAACATAAAAAAATGTGAAATTTTAAGGAAAACTTATTGAATTATACAGGCACAAAGTAGGCGGTTCTGGGTGCAATTTACAATTAGTAATTTCAACCAATTTGAGGCCCATTTTATGCCAATATCATTGCTCAATCTAATGCCTGGCTATTACCCTAGTATACCTTCCATTCTATCGATTGAGCACAAGAAACTGCCCATACAACTATCAGAACTAGCCTATAAAGCATTCAAAAGCCAGCCATTTGGCTTATTTTACACAAAATTTAAGAAATTCTAATTTATAAACAAAATCCATAATAAACACTGCAGGTAATCCAGCAACTAAAGCAAACAATTCCTTTAATTAATGTCCCCAGACCTCTCCCACATAGCACTCGTCTTTCATTTTAAACCCGTCATCACACACACAAAAATGAAGTTTTATCTTTTTTCTCAGGTAATAAAATATAACTAAGAATGATTAGTTATAGTTTAGACCATCACAGTAATTGAAGTAGACCAAGTAAAAACCCATAATATAGACCAGAAAGGCATAGCACAACAGTGAGTGATTTATATATATACAGTGGACCCCCGGTATTCGATATTAATCCGTTCCAGAGAGCTCATCGAATACCGAAAATATCGAAAACCGAATCAATTTTCCTCATAAGAAATAATGGAAATCAAATTAATCTGTGCAAGACACCCAAAAGTATGAAAAAAAATTTACTACATGAAATATTAAGTTTAATGCAATAGAATAATTACAATAACAATAAAATAATTGACACTTACCTATAATGAAGATCTGGTGATGATTGATGAGATGGGAGGAGGGGAGAGGTGTTAGTGTTTAGAAGGGAATCCCCTTCCATTAGGACTTGAGGTAGCAAGTCCTTTTCCGGGGTTACTTCCCTTCTTCTTTTAATGCCACTAGGACCAGCTTGAGAGTCACTGGACCTCTGTCGCACAACATAACTGGCAGCCTCACCATGCCTAATCACACTATGTATGCCACTACGATTCTTAAATCTTTCAAACCAACCTTTGCTGGCCTTAAATTCACTCACATCAGCACTAGTTGCAGGCAATTTCTTTACCAAATCGTCATGCAACTGCCTAGCCTTTTCACAAATGATCGCTTGAGAGATGCTATCTTCTGCTATCTGTTTTTCATTTATCCACACCAATAACAGTCTCTTAACATTTTCTAACACTTGCGGTCGCTGTTTTGTAATCACAGTTGCACCTTTTGCAAGAACAGCTTCCTTGATTGCCGTTTTCCTGGTCACTATAGTAGAGATGGTTGATTGGGGTTTATTATACAACCTGACTAGCTCCGACACACGCACTCCACTTTCATACTTTGCAATTAGCTCTTTCTTCATTTCAATAGTCATTAGCGCCTTTTTTCTCGAAGGGTTGGCACTAGAAGCTTTCTTGGGGCCCATGGTGACTTATTTTGCAGAAAGAAGCACCAGAAACAGTGATAATATGGAATGTACCGAATGTATCCTTAGATGTGCGCACACTGGCTGGCTTGTAAACAATGGCACACACGGAGCAGTTCAGGCCACACGTGGACACTTCTCGTACGAGTCGTATCGAATACCGGGTTTTCAATCGGATACCGAGGCAAAATTTTTGCGATATAATGCATCGAATACCGGATTTATCGAATACCGATGCCATCGAATACCGGGGGTCCACTGTATATGCTTAATTTTCATGTGTTCAAATATACCTCTAGCTGCCATATCTGGTCTCAGCTGAACTGTTTGGATCACCTAAAACCTCTCACATCTAGAAAAAAATTTGGTCAATGTGGGAGAGGCAGTGCATCATATCTAAGTGCCTCAATATAATGTATACATAAGCTGATTTTGAAAAAAGGAGGTAATTGTACCAGTATACAGGATGTGGAATATGCAGTATGATGCCTTACTGGTTCCAAATGTACAGCCTCTCCTCACTTAACAACCGAGTTCCGTTCCTAAGAGTAGGTTGGTAAGTGAACTGGTCATTAAGCGAGGAGCATATTATACTGGTAGGGGGTTTGTCAACCATCTTTAGATATTGTTTTAATGTCACCTTTGCACCATTTATAACATTTTTAGTATATTTTTTGAATATTTATACAGTAGTGTACCGTATACTGTAATAAACAGAACAGAGGAAATCAGCTCTAATATACATTACTTCGGTTTGCATATAGGTCGGATATCTGGTCGTAACTCTGAATGGTCAGTAAATGAGTACGTTGCTAAGTGAGGAATGACTGTATTACAATTTGATGATACTAACAGTGGATTTTGACCAAACTGTTCAATAACAGTGGATAATTAGTCACACTACATGACTTCTGTTGACTTATCCAAGATTACATCAATATGGTGTGGTTTTTTTATGTCCATAACACCTGCGTGCCCTCAACATCAAAATACAACACAAAACCTAAATAAAAACTTATTTAATGAGAAATAACCGACTTGATTATATCCCATTATTTTTGGCAATACTTTTTTTTTAACACACCAGCAGTATTCCAGTGAGACAGAGTGACCCAGGAAACAAGAAACTTTCACCATCACTCACTACATCACTGTCTTGCCAGAAGCATGATGATACTACAGTTCAGATGCCCATCAAAACTGCAATATCCCCACCCCTCCTTCAGAGTGCAAGCATTATACAGTGGACCCCCGCATAGCGACTTTAATCCGTGCAAGAGGGCTGATTGTTATGCGAAATGATCGGTATGCGAATGAATTTTCCCCATAAGAAATAATGGAAATCAAATTAATCCGTGCAAGACACCCAAAAGTATGAAAAAAAAAATTTTACCACATGAAATATACATTTTCCTACACACAAAGAGAAGGATACATGCACAATAGTAGAGTAGTACATGCACAATATATATTGTGTATGTACTAGTCTACTAAATGAAGAATAAATGACACTTACCTTTATTGAAGATGCAGCAATGACTGATGAGACACTGTGTCCTGGGAGTGCCTTTTCCTCCTGAGTACTGTAGGTCCTGTTTGGCATTTTCTTCCAGAACAGGCCTTATCACACTGTGTATGCCACTACGA